AAACTTTCACAAGTAAGTCTCCTTTTGATGGTGCAGACGTCAATCAAACACCATACTGCCCCCTTTGAACACACCACTAACTGGAACAAGCCCAGTTTAAGAGCAGAGTCAATTTGTTTCTGAAAATTATAGTTATCAGAACACAACTAGCATCACATCCCACTGACAAAAAACAACTGATTTAAGCAAGTGAGGACAAAAACCTTTTGCAGAAAATATTGACTAATCAGTTAAAAAGGCATGGCACGTTTACACACTGAAAATTACAAGAATACTAATATTTACTATTGTTATAATTTAAAATTATTTACATTTTTATCCTTTTGGTTTTTATGTTACTGCAGTCATCTACATATTAAAGTCTCCACTGACTTCTGCACAAACACAAAGTAACGCTTTGCAGTGCAATCTGTCTCTCTCCTACTGATGGAGCAGACACACTACTATAGGTGCAGGTGAACTTGTCCTTCAGTATTGTTTCTTTTTACACTCTTGAAGTGGAAAATAACATGTTAGAGTTGGAGTTGCTAGGCAAGAGGAGGAGAGGAAGACCTCCAAGGAGATTTGTGGATGTTGTAAAAAAGGACATGTTGTAGAAGAGGAGGCAGGAGATAGGGTGAGATGGAGGCAGATGATTTGCTGTGGCGACCCCTGCTGAGAACCACTGAAAGAAGCAAAAGAAATGAAAATAATAAAAATCCTTGTCTTAGATATCTGACAATTTAAATGACCAATACCATGAACACCACCTTGTTGTTATCATGTTTCATCAGCGTGGATGACCATATGTTTCAATAACAACAGCTGCAAACATGTTTGTAAGATTTCCTCTGTATACGCTTCATCTAACACAGTCATTTAGCTTGGTGTACAACTGTAAACAAGCTTCTAATGTTGTCATGTTTGTTTGATTAGTCCGTCAACTATGCACAGCCTCCACAGGCACACAAACAGCTGCACAGCAAATATGCACTGCCTGTAATGTAATGGACTTCTTTTGCTCTCACATTTTCCCTCTCACTGTCACATGCTGCATGTTACTCTGCATCAGAGTTATGATACATGTGTATGATGTCACTTAGAAAATATTTCTCAGGAGAATCACATGGAAACAGGTGATAAAGAAGAGAACAGAGAGGGGAACCACAAGGGAGACTTCAAGCTGTTGTATAATAAGATATCGTAGAGATAATAGAAAGAAATCTTTAATTCTTCTCTGTCTTGATTATTTCTACAGGAGTATACTGTGTTTTGTTGCTCTGTTATTTTTTTAAAGCACCAGCATGTATTTGTTTGTCTTAACAAACTCAACTAAAACTTATTTGACTGCATCAGTCAGTAGTTCTCAGTAGTCGCTGCCAAAGAATTGTGTGGATGTTTGTGTTTGAAACATTGGCAATCTCAAAAGGTCAAATCGATGAGTCCAGCTTTTCTGACACTTAAACAGCTCAAATGTTTTGCATAGAGATTTGAGAGTCCAGTCACATTACCACACGAAGCATTATTCTTTGTAGGATATGTGGTGAAAGACAGAATATTTACCCCCAAACCCTTTGATCATTTACTGGACCAGTGTTGAAGTAGTACAAAGCTGCAGTGCTTCAAACAGGTCATAACTAAAAATGGTGTTATCGGGTCCGAAAGTGGTATTTTAATAATACTTAATTTTTCATTTTCATTTTTTTACTTGCAAAATGCATAGGAAAATGTTGTGTTTTGTTTCTCTGGCGATGTTAAACTGCAGATATTTCTCTGCCATTATGGTAAAAAAAAGCTGTCTTTTCATTGACTGACTCCAATCAATACACTTTCCCTGTTGCCTTGCTGCTTCCGTCTCACGCTGTTTTTCCAGGGGAAAAACAAAAACACCACTGCAAACCAAAAATCCTTTCGCCCTTTTCTGTTGAAAAATCATTACATATTGCAGGGATTAAAGTTACTTTTAGGATAAAAAAAAATGTTACAAGAATGGAGGCATTATTTTTGCCACAGCTGCAGAGGCGTTTGGATATTGTTCATTTGGAACGACTTTGTTACATTTGAATAGGATTCATCAGTACTTCCCTTTTTGATGTGCAGTTCGTGAATTTACAGTATATTCAAGTACACATGCGATGTTTACTCCATTCATTTTACTGCACTTATCTCTGCACACAGCATGAGATTGTCTCCCTTATTGTCCAGGGGGTGTTTATGCTGGTGTGTAGGCAGGAGAAAAGGGATGTATCTCAGACTCCACTTTAATAACATTCAACCCAGCAGGTCTGTTTTGTCTGCACTGACAGAGCCCTGTTATCTGTTTGACAGAGTGTCAGGAAGAGACAGCAGGTTTGCACAGAATTACCCATTAAACCTGACCACCGTATTGTCTCCCCTAAAACATCACAGATCAACTCTCACCAGTGGTGCTGTGTTGTTCCCTACAGACACACACACACACACACAAACACGTGTGCGCAGAGTAAGAGATCAAATCAATGGCTGCCTTCCTACACACGAGGAAACACTGTGCAGTAGGTGTCCAACGGAGGCGTCCGCCCACTCACAGGATACACACTTAAAAGTGTGTGTGTTTAAATTCATCCTGGCTGTATCTCACTTGTTTTCACAGCTACTACATTTAGAGATGCACCTTTGGTCAGTGCTTACACTCTTACACAAAAGCTGCAGTATTACACAAACACTGTGTTGATGTCACATAAAAACAAACTCTAAGCAAACGCGGAGGTTCGCTTCACTCTCAGCTGATTATTATGAATGGATGGAAACCAAATGAAAATGTCACTTTTAGAAAAGAAATACATAGATCATAAAGGTGAGATGTTAAGAAAGGAACTGGATGTGTTGCTGGATTTTAGTTTTTGCTCTTTAAATATTTTATTGTTCCATCACATAACGATGTGATGTCAGTTAACAAAGTAAAAACAAAATGAAAGAAATGAATTTACTGTGATATAATCATTTGATGAGTTATATTCTATACATCCAATTATATATTTTACTAAAAAAATATATTTAGAGACCTTGAACTACGCTATTAAGTATAATGGTTAACGAAAAGACACTTACTAGTCAAACATAAAATGCATTTAAGAAAGAAATATGGAGACTTGTGACCCAAAGAACACTGTACTGCCAGAGGACAGAGTCTGAGTTATACAGTTTTAACACCACTGTGAATTGTTTGCAGGTGAAAGGAATTAATGGAAAAAAGTTTATGACATTTTTTTCACAGCAGACTACAAGGAGTCAGCACCAAAACTGGGTCTTCACTGGTGTGTCTGTGTTTTAGAATTCTGTGTAAAACTCAAGAAAGTACTTCAGAAATACTTCAACAAGTATGCAATGTTAAAGGAGCCAATCATACAGAATATCATTTTTGTCCAACACCATCTGATTTTGAAATGAGACAGAATTGGGTGAGGGACACGCAATACAGTACTACACAGCAAAAATGAAGAAGTATGACTGGGGGAGGTAGAATATTAACCCAGAGTCTGAGTCCATCCCCCTCCTCCAGGCCTCATGTTAGACATCACCAGGAGAAATCTGCTCATTAGAGCAGCTGGAAACTCATATATCAAACACAGATAGCTGTCAGTTTTCGTCCAGGGGATCTGGCTGTAGTGGCAGAACACAGAAGAGCTCCGTATCTGGAGGACATACACAATATATACAGTATATGTATTGTGTATTTACAGTCTACCCTGAGTGAAGGTACTTTATATGAAAACCTTCTCCCCTGACAAAGCTGCTGTGGTGCTAAAACATTAATAAGTAGTAGCAGTGGATTCTCTAAATAAATATTAATGAGGTGGTGAGAATGGTGATTACACTGTATATTTAAAATTACACAACCTGCTTTCTGTTCCACTCCTCCTATTTTTAAACTGATTAACTGTAAGCTGTGTGAAATGTATCTTTATCTAAAGGAAAGGATCAAAGAGGGACTTTGGCATGGGAAATTGATTGTGAGTCCGAAATATAAGAAAATCACGGCAAGTTTTCTTGTCCCTGGGGATGCATGAAGTTGGTGACGATCCCTGGCGAGAGTGTGTATGTGTTCTTTGATGGACTGACTGTCACACAAAAGACTTACCTCTGAAACAAATGGTTACATGACTGGAAAAGGTCAGCGGCAGTCTTCACTGTTCGTTTCACTGCCCGCTGCTTTGCTTTTTGGTTTTGATTTTTCTTTTTCTTTTTTTCTATTTTTCTAATAGGAGAGGAGCTAGCAGAAATCAGTGTCACAGAAACACAACTAGGAGTGAGAGTCAGACACTGATGGTCTGAGGTTGTAGAAATAGGGCACTGATTGGTTGTGACCTCTCAGCCTGACAGGTCACATGTACATTTTGTATGGGACCTTTCTTTTTTGCAGTGATAAATTGGTGACCAACTCAGTCCTGTGGCTGGCAGGGAAACCTAACAGAGTGAGGCAGCCTGTAAACACTGAGCTCAGTTGAGTCTGTGTGCTTTGAAATAGCAACTTCTTTTAAATGAATAAGATCATGCATTAATAATAAACCCACAGTATTATACTCTGTTTTGCACACAAAGTTCTTCTAAAAAGTTCCTCTAAAAGTTCCAACAGACGTCATCAGTCAGGACAGGTTGGCAGCTTCGGTTTGAGATGACAAAGATATTTTTGCTTATACATTAAAGTCACCTGGCACAAAGAAATATTCAACATAAAGATTTTGAAATTTTTGAGCAGTGAGATTGTTCGGAGTCTAGAAGTGAAGGGAGAAATAGTTAATACTGAGCAAAAGACCTGGCATAAATACCTGAAGACAGGAGCAGTTCATCACAAGTTCAAGTCTTTGTATCTGGTTCCTGTTAATCCCTCTTAATCTCCCTTTCTTCAGTACTTAAAAACAATCCTTCATGTACTCAAAATCATAAATAATAATTTGCAGAATTGAAAATAAAAATGTTTGCAAATGTTGCAAAAAAAAAACCTGCTTGGATTCTGCATAGAAATACAAAGGTGATTTTATTTATTTTTTTCTCTGGTATGGCAGGTGAAACAATAATAAATTGTCAACAACTTTCTTCTTGTAGTTATACTTTAAAATATGGAACATTAATACTGTACTTAGAATATACATAGTACGTATCACTGCCATCTCTGTTGCAATTAATTGCTGGTAAAACAAAAAAGCAACATTTGGGTGACATATTTAACATGAAGTTCAATAAAAAGTACATTTAAAGAACGAGGTCACAGGGTGGGGTGAGGAGGGGTTTCATCATACCTGTCTTTGTCTGCCACAAATAACCCCACTAAGACAGATATAGTTCACCTTAGTTTGCAATCATGGATATAAATGATTTGTGTTACTCTGCCGCCCCTTAAACATCATTCTTCATCCATACAATTTTTAAATATTTAAAAAGTTGTTTTTTTATGTGGCAATGGAAAATAAAAGCAAAGTCCTGATAAGCTGGTGTCTGACAAGTGTGTGTCAGCAGAGTGGCAGTTGTCCTGGTCAATAATTACTGCAGGTGTGCTGCTGAGGAGCTCCGTTGAAGACACTTGTTGCTGCAGTGCGACTTTACTCTTACTGTTTCTCTTGTCTGAGTTCAGACAAAATGCTGTCCGTCGGTGGTTTATGACTCGGTCGCGTCCATGCGACTGTGGGAATAAATAAAGCAGAAGTATGTTCGAGTCTGTGAACCTGTCGAGATCTGATGACTTAAACCTGTCAGGTGTGGAGCTCACTCACCGCTCCATCAAAGTGAGCATCATCATCACCCTGGGCGTCATCATCACTTTAGGAAACATCGCCGTTCTCCTGGTCATCACTTCGTCCGTGGCCGGTTGGTCCAGAAGTTCTCGGTACTTTCTGCTGTCCCTCACCGCCGCAGACTCAGCCTTCGGGCTGCTCGTCATGCCGCTGAACCTCAGTGTGAGTCTGCTGAAGGACTACAGTGAAGGTCCAGATCTCCTCTGTCACATCGTGGCCTTCTGCAACGCCACTATCTACTCCACCTGCATGTACACTCTGGCCACCATCAGCCTGGAGCGGTACATCGCAGTATTTTACCCCCTGCAGTACTCATCTCTGATGACCAGAAAAAGGACGCTGCTTCTCATCGCCTTCTCCTGGTGCTTCCCTCCATGTTTACTGGCGCCAATAACATTCCCTGATGGAATCATCGAGGTCCACTTCTCCAACGCGTCACTGGTCTGCAATCCGTCCTACTCCACCAATGTGGGCTACTCCATAAGTTTGACCTGTTTCATATTTTTCCCCTGCTCGGGCATCATGACCTTTGCCAACCTGAGGGTGTGGTGCGCTGCCAAGAGGCAGAGACTGAAACTGCGCAAATACTACTGTGAGCGTCGCAGCAGGCACAACGTGGCGTCCAGGGTGTTGGTGCCGGTGATGGCAGCCTACTACACCTGCTGGACACCGTGCATGGCAGCTATGATCTATAATGGTAAGTTGTAGCCAGGAACTTAGGGGGTGGAGATTATCATTGTCAGTGTGCTGCAGTAAAATAAAAGTAAGAGTAAATTCTAGTAACATAATCGCAGTTCCTCTGAAATCAAAGAAGTCTGATGAAAGAAGTTTGATGAAGTTGACTGACAGATAAAAGAAGCAGTTTTTATTTATGGTGCATTTCAGTGGCTGATTGAAGGTGTGGAAAAGCCCACCGTTCAAAATCCAGGCCAACCTGGCGCATATTCCCACCTTTGTCCCCTGTCCACTGAATGTGCTGCCAACTGCATAAGGGAAGGCCGATTGTATTTTTTTTTAATTAAAAAAAAGTCAAGGGTGCAGCCTAAAAAATACCAAAGTTATTTATTTTTTGTGTGCATGTATGAGCTCAAGTGTGCCCAACTGGAGATTATTACTGGCTGAGACTGTTCCATTCACATTTGCTTGACCTTTAGACTGACAAGGGAAGAAACCAAGTCTGAAGTTATTGTATTTTTATTTTAGGAGGCCAGATTTAATTGAGTAACAGAAATAGATTTTTACTAATTTGCATTTGGATCGCTATTCATTAACAATAGAGCAACTTAACATTTCTCATTTTTATTTTATATGAATTATTTTTACATACTATGTGTGCTTTTTTTATGCTACACTGGAAATGGATGATATGAAGGATATTCGAGCATACTGTGTAAGGTCAATGCTAGAGATTCTTCAAACTGTACTCTAATGATTGGTGTTAGTCACAGTCAGCGCTAATGCTGTATAATTTGAATGTGTAAATGAGACGAATCAATGCACAATGAATTCAATTTCTATTTTAATTTATTCTTCTTTCTAAATATTGTATCTGCTGTTTCAACCAAGAATGTTGTGACAGTAACAACTGCCAGAAATTATTTATGCAGTGATGGATGTCAATGCACTGATTCATGGCCAAATCATTGAGTCAAGCTCTCGACTTTTAATTCTCATCTCACCGTCCGTGTGCTGTTTTGGAAATGGTGCTGATGGTGGAGTCACAGCTGAATGTTTCCTTTGCTGAATATTTGTAGAATAAATAAAGGTGACGTGTGTATAAATATTATAAGATGCTGAAACCATCAGTGGGTGAAGGGCTATAGTTCACCAGTCCATCATTTCTATTGGCAATGTAGAGAATTCCATTAACACAACCTCAGTTTGTATATTTCGAACTTTAAGAGAAACCCCATGCACACACAGGACGAACATTAAAATGCAATACAGAAATACCACCGGGCAATGGTGATTGAACTGTTGATCTACCTGGTGTGAGGCAAGAGTCTATACCACCGTCTTTTTTCTCTTATTTCTCTTATATTGCCTGTTGTCTGGTGGCCAAAGCAGTGGACTTGTCTGGAAGGTTGCAGATTCAAATCCACCAGCCACCAGGTTCCACTGAGGTGCACTGGGCATGGTACCGTCCCCACACACTGCTGCCTGGGCGCTCAGCTTGAGCTGCCACAAACTCAATATGATATTGGACAAATATTGTTGTGTGCTGTGTCACACTGAAAATAAATCAGTTTCACTTTACTATTTTTTTAAGATCAACACAGTGGATCTTTTTTTTTTTCATCCTGGCTTTTTTGCATAATTTCCTCATTTCTAATCCTCCATCTTTCCATCCCAACAGCAGTCTCGGGTCAGACCGTATCAGAGTGGATAGAGTTTGTCATTGTATGGCTACCCGCCTGCAATGGCTTCCTGAACTGTATCTTCTATTTCTGGATCAACCGGAGCTTCCGGAGAAAATTTCACCTGGTCCTCCAGAGGTTGACTGTGTCCTTGTGTCCTAAACTGGCCGAGACTCTGGGATGCTGCAACATGTCCAAATCACAGTTTGTGACTGTTCTGGATAACAACAACACTGTTCACGGCCGTTCTTCCAGCGTATCCTCCACCTGCACCCTCATCTCAGTAGTTTAGGATTTTCGGACTCCACAAACACAAACAGTATTGATGCTTCTCCATACATTTCTTGTCATCTTAGTTTAGTCAAGGCTGATAACTCAAGTCAGGCTAATCAATAGGGTTGTATGTAGCTGTAGGTCAGAGGTCATAGTGGCAATGATTCATGTTGTAAAATAAATGGGTTGATACAAAGGCTTTAGAGGGGGCTATTATAAAAGTCATTACATTTGTGATTAAAGTTATATTAATTTGTATAAATTAGTTTCCTTTTAGTGTTTTAATCAATCCCCTTCACAATAACAGGTATATTTCATTTATACCTTCATCTACTATCTTTCTTTTTTATTCATTCACATTCAACAGAATAGCTGTGACTTCTGTCAGAGTCGACCTCTGCCCAACCTTTTAAAATGTTTTATAGTAAGCCATCAACCTTGTCTCCGCCCCACTCGTACCTCAATCATTAATCTGTGTGCAGTTGTATAACCTTCAGCCATTTAATAGTGTCTGCTGTCAGTTGTTTGGACTTTTTCTCAGTTTAACACAAAGTTTACTCCTCATAACAAGCTAACATATATATTTTTCAATATCCCAGACATTACAATCCAAACCTCACGTAGAGTCAGTTGAAGGATTCAAGGATTTGTCAAGCTCGAATTCCATTCATACATGGTTGAAAGTTTTGGTGTATTAGAGCTTGTGGAAGTTAACCTTTAACTCGCATCATTTCGATATATGCAAGGAGAAAAGCGATTAAACAGCAACACATTAAAAGGTCAGCATATTTGTGCCAGAGAGCCAGGAATGACTTTTGAAGCTTGGGTTGCTTATTTAGAGAAATTAAGGCCAAGAACGTACTTTCAGTATCAGCGCTCCTGTCTTAGTCTGAAAAGACTCTAACTTCCTCATCTGCTGTTCCCTTATCGCAATGAAAAAACAGGAGCTTATTTCCTGAGAAAGAACCTAAAATTCAGTACTGTTTTATTCAAGAAATTTTACCCGTTATTGCTTCTTGATGTTGTGATCATTGAGCATTTGCCCTCGATGAGCTGTAAAAAGATCAGTGTGTTGATTAAAACCTGGCACTAAATTGTACAGGGAAGGTGAAAAGTGTTTTTCTTAATTTGTAATACTGTTTAAAATGATTGTTTGATATTGGATTAATTTATTGAATAAAGCATTGTGCATTTAAATTGTTTATCTTTTTCTGTTTCACATGTGAATGTCTTAATGCTCCAAGAGTTCTTTGCTGCTTGTGATGTTTTCCTCCAGATGTCATTCATTATGGTAATATTCATTATTTTTAGGCATTTTAATGTTAGCAAACTGTTTAAAATATGGATATAAGGCTAAATTACTTATTGATTTATTAGTAGACTAGTGTTCTATAATAAAGTACAAAGCATGATTCTGCTTATTGTAATTGTTTTTTCTCTTTTTTTGCAGGACTTAATTACAAAATGAAAAATGGAGGGTCAAATGGAAGAACGGTGTAAAAAGGAAATGAAAAGGTGTGTAAGAATCTTGCTTAATGCCTTTATATACAGCAGATGTCAAATGAAATATTTACAGTTGACCACATGCACTTCTATTTATATTATTATAACAGAAGAACATGAAAGTGATTGTTTTTCAAAATAAAATACCATTCCAAAAATTCAAATATTTTTATTCATTCTGTGCAGCTCAGTGCTGGTCCACAGCCATAGCCATCTTTATTTTTCAACCAAACTGTGTATTTTTAGACCTGGTCAGACACCAAGGACCATGACTGAGATTTTGCAAAAATGTATTATATGGCTTCAGGTTGGTTTTATAGATTTTCTTTTTCTCTGGCTCACTCTCATAGAATGAAGTAAAGCTGGGACTGTTGTGGACTAGGTGTGGGTCAGGCAGTTAATTGTCCCACTGCAGGTTTCCGTGCCATTGTTTCTGTTGGTTTCTTGTTTATTCGTGTTGCATCCACAAGCTTTCCTCTCCTGTTTGGAGATTTATTTTTCCCTCACTGTTTTTTATTTTTTCGAGGCCACTAGTGTGCTGTGCATTTTCAGTCTCAGACACTGTTAAGAAAGACTGCAGCCAGAAATAAGTGACCAGGCATGAAGAAAGATGCTTATCTGGTGGCTTCATACACTCCCAGAGCAATACGTTATCTAATTACAGTGTGTTGTTCTGCCTCATCATTATTGCTGTCACAACAGGAAGGCGGTGGTAATGATGCCACTTTGTCTTAAAAATACAGAAAGGCTTTTGTTGTAAAATTTTATTTTTTATGCAACGTAAAGTCCACGGCATGAAAAGCAATTACATAAAAATGAAACTATGTTTTGTTGTTTTTTTCTCCATCGTTGCCTTGTGCTTGCTTACGTATGTGGCGTGATTGCATTTGTAGTGTCTCTCTTATGTAATGTATAGACAACCAGTAGATGATAACATGGGCGTGAATGCGTCACTCGGATTAATCGATGTGATTAAGCCTTAATACTTTTATTTCTGTGGTAAAACAGATCCACCGACTAACGTTGGCACAAGTTATGGCTCTAGTGCCATCCAGTGGCCGTGACCAGTATTGCATCGTAAAAAATATCGCAGAATAAAAATTGTTTTGTGGCGCTTTGGTCCAGAGGCAATGTCTTTGTCATTGGTGTGGAACCCCAGGGTTCACCACCTGGGCAAGTTCGAATCGTGGTTGGTACCTTCCAGTGGACTCACCACTTGCAGGAAGGTTCAGGGGGGTTGGTACGGTGCAATGTAATTTGGGTGGCAGCCAAGACTGCTGCCCCCGTGACCCTGTAACAGATAAGCGGATGAAAATGGATGGATGAATGGATGGAAAAACTGTTTTGTGTGGCAAGCGATGGTGCAAATTGTATAGGTTAGATATTGTAAATATTGTGGGTCCTGCAGAGCTGTGTGCTTTTAAGAGCAGTAAATGAAAATGTGTCGTAAGAAGGCATCTGTTTCATACAAAGACAAGATCAAAGGGTGTTGATCTGTGCTTTCGGCAGTTTTTGCAGTCGAGTCCACTTGGTTAGTCACTGTGAGGGCTCTCGTGGAGGCTGCAGATGGAGAAGCTTTTATTTTAGTCGCTGTTTCCTGCTCCACTCCACAGGAGAGAAAAATCGAAGAGAGCAAACATGGAGAAGTGCAGCAAAAATTAATTTGAGCCAATAATGAAAAACAAAGTTTAAAACGACATACATGAAACTGCGTTATTTATCCATCTGCTAAACTTGATCATGTTGCCTAATACCACAAGTGCAGCCATGTTAACTTTCCTCCCTTGTCTTTTACCGGTTAATTCCGACAAATGATTTCCTCATATTATGGAGGTAAACTGTGTTTTAGCCTATAAGCTGGTATAGAATTTCACATCACTTTTCCAATTAAATGAGCAGCACTCGGACTGACTGTCGATTGTTGAACTCATTAATTTTTCAAACGTAAAGCACCTGCAAACAGTGGTGGACATCAGCAAACACAGCTAAATTTGTAATTACTGTCCATGACATTATGTTTGTTGGTGATGGACACACTTGACACATTTACTTAGGAGACTGGGAGCCCTGAGCAACAGCTAAGAAAACACTAGGAAACCTTATGCTGTGGTCAAAGCTCTGGTCAGACATTTGAACCTCATAAAAAACAATAACATCGCAGTTGTTTTTTTGTTTTTTGTACCAAACAAAGATTTCCTATCATTCGCAAAGAAGCCTTGTTTTAAATAGTTATGTTTTCCAATGCTTTAAAATTCCTAACAAATACTTCTTACAAATAAACGTGATTTAATAATAATTAAATTTTTCACTCCAATAGATTTCAGGCTATATCTAAAATCTTTGGTTTTTGTGTTTATTTTACACCAAAATGACCAAAGTGATACATGTAAAGTTTCATATTACTTAATGGGAAATATTTAACTTGACAGTTTGTCATTTATTCTCCTGTTGGAAATGGAAAAGTCACAAGTTGTTTGTATATCTATTTTTATTCAATATTAAATTACTTGCAGCTAAAATAAGTCATTAACCAAATTCACTTAAACATTTGTGAGCATTGCAATAGTGGCATTTTTATACAGCAGCGTATATCACGAATATTATACATGCAAATGTTTAAAATAACCTCAAACAGCCATGTCATTCCTAATCCTAGATATTTAATGATGTTGTCAAAGTAGAAACATGAATGTAAGATGGTTGGATTGAGAGAAGTAGAAACATGTTACATGTGCAGTAACTGACTTGAAAGACACTTCGTACTGTAGGGCCCAACAGTCACCAACAAACACTTGCAAAGCACTTGTTCAGCATGATTCCAATTAGTTAAAAACAGTTGAAAACACTTTGTCCCACAAACCCACATTAAAGATGCACAGAGAAAACAATATGGTGGAAAATCAAATCAAACAAGTGGCAGTGTTAACTGACATATTTACTAAAGAGATAAAATAAATCTTATGTCAGTAATAATATCATACCTCTGCATATAATAGACTAAAATCTATGCATAACTTTACACGAGTAGATACAATCAGAAAAGAGGAGAGTCGAAGGGGATTAAAAAAAAATCACAAAATAAAAATTCTCAAATATTCAAGGCATTCACAATTTACATAATAGCAGATAATTTGCATAAAAAATAAACCCAAACCCAAAAAAGTGAATCAAATAAGATTTAATCCAATTATTCAAATAGATGGCAGTTCCGGCATAGAGACTGTGTTCGTTATTTAAAATTTTACTTCAGTCTTCTGTTTTATAGACGCTAATATCATACTTGAGTAAACAACTGTTATCCACACAGGGGATGAATGCATATGGAATGCAAAGTTTAACATAAAGACACCATTTTGCACCAGTGACATAAACAATGACAATTACACAAACAGAATTGAAGAGTGAATGTCTAATACAACTACTAGCCAACTGCAAACAACACGTGTATGAAAACAGGCAAATATATTTCAATCAAAGTACCAAACCCAAGATTCCTTGTTCTTCTGTTTCATCTGATGCAGACACTATCCACTGACTGGGATGAGGATTTGGTCAAAGGTTTCAAGGCTTTCAACTGAGCACGCTCCAGGGCAAAAATATGCTGGCACTCAGAACGAATAGAAACGATACACGAGACCAACAATGGCTGCAGCAATAGCAGGTATTAACCATGTGGTCCAAAAAGAGCTGCTGGAGAACAAAAAACAAAACACAATAAGAAATCCATTTTGGTAGCTGGGTCCCTGATCTAAAACCTCCATCTTCTAGTATGTTTGGCAATATTATGTGAATTCCACTATATAATAACTAATCACAAGATCCACCTGTTGAGAATTACTGGTCTAGACTGTAAATCACCGATTCGCAACTGCAGGGTCGTAATCTGAATATTGGGCTGTAGGCCTTTGTCAAAACAATAATGCAGCAATGACTAACCTGGTTTCTCCTGATGGTGTATCAGGCACCTGTGGTTGCAAAAGTGTGAAATAAATTAGAAATGAAATCTTTGAGTGGTCTTTTCAGTTTTATTATTGGATTTTAAACAGGTAAGAAACAAACAGACAACTTCAGCTTACCTCCTGTGTTTTCAAATTTCTGTCACACTAAAAAAAAGGAAAAAATAAAATTATTTTCTACTGTCATGGAGGCCAACACTAATGAAAAAGATTAGAAATAAAAAATATAAAAAAAACAAGCAATGGCTTTTTTTCGTTTTAAACATAATAATGAAGATTAAATTACAGTTTCGATCAAGATCAAAATTAACTTCTTGAAATGTAGTATTCAGTACAAATAATCTTAATCTCACCTTTCTAACTTTATACTCAAACTGCTCCACCTTAACTGGCCCTCTGATCTGTTTATTTCTAACCCTGTAAATCCTTTCTGTGTTTTATCCATTGAAAAATAACCACTTAAATTTACAACTCCATGACATCATCTTGTGACTTTAAAGGTCACAAGATGATTGTTGTGCTTCAACTGACCCAGCTTGATCAATTGGCCAAAGTCTAATACATGGAAGAAACCATTTCTCTTACCATGTCAAGTTCTCCAATGTAGAATTGGTTGAGCATCTCCCTTGCATCTGTAGAATGACCAACATCCTCAAAGCTCTCTGTAGCATCTGATCCTGCCTGCTCCAGCAAAACCTCCTCACCCCCTGGATGCTGCAATTATATTTAATGAGGCAAAACTAAATATATTTGCGTACATTTTGTGCATATTCTAGGAATTCAACTAACTTTCCAACCCACTTTAAAGGAAAAAAATAATCTTCCATTTTCCTTAGCTGTTTAAAGAACAAAAGGCCTTGTAATTGTCAATCAATACTGGCTGATACTAGCTGAGACACTTACTACCTTCCGGTATAACCAGTTGTTTTAGAAGAACTTCAATTTAAACAGTTAAAATTTAAATTAGGAAAATAATTCCTCTAAAGCACACATACAAACAAATGACACTACTGAAGGATATGTGTTTAAGGGTGGATACCAACGCTTAAAAGTTCATGTATAGGCCTTTTCACATGTTAATTGTAACAATTATAGGCATTTGAAAGTTAATGCGATTAAACGAGCTAGGTAGTAGAGCACAAGTGAAGAAGAAATTATGTACGTGACGCTGTTTTCATAGCATAACCTATATACGTACTTGAAAACTACTACTTATCTTATTACCGATAAAACCTTACACCTTAGCACCACCTAATTTAATCCCAACCTATCGTTGGATCGAATCTACTACAAGCAAACGTCAACACGCAACATAAGGTACCCTAGCTATTCCAGGAAGTAGTCTTGGTCATAAAAGCAAAACCCTGTGAGATGACAATAAAACACTCATCAGGTTGAATCGTCACAAAGTGACGGCTTCTTACCTCTTCGAGGAAACTTGTGATGTTGTAAACTTTGTCGTGGATGATAACCCATGTGTCTTTACACATATTGTGTACTCTAATTTCTTCTAACGTGTAATACTTTACACCACCTTCTGTCGCCTCACCGTTTACATCATGATTTACAGAGCCCATGTTCGCGTCAAGTGGACAGTCTTTTCTAATTTCTACGCTCATTGTAATAACACGGACAACCCGAGGTTCTAACGAACGCTAATTTCAGTTAGCCACGAATGCACTGTTGAAGTGCGGGTAAACGCGCGGTGTTTTTAAGCTGTGACAACGCTGTTATTACTGTTAGCACCGCCAAAGGCCAGCACAATCAGCTCCTTGGTGTTAAACTATACTATGGTGCTAAAAACAAGTAACAGCGTAACCCTTCGAGCCCCGCAGATCAGCAGACACGTGTAACCAACCAATGTCTTGTGTGTAAATCGGGTTGGTCGTTTTTTTTAGTCGCATTATCATTGGTCACCTGCCGTGTTTGCAACAGCTAGCCAATGACAATGCGACTTATACAGTACTGACCAATCACAGCCCACGACTGATGATCAGCGGAGGGTCAACTGTGCATCATAATAGGTTGTTGTAATTGTATTCATAATTTGGTGGCAAATTCGGTTCATTTTTTCGTTTTATGGACTACGGTTACTTTTCAGTGGTGTTTGCCACACCACAAAATAACCAAGTAATAAAAAAACTAATTCATCAAAGAAAAAAGTTTTTATAAGAGAATGTAATATGGTTAGTTTTGTGATGCATTAGAAAAATAATCAAATGTTTAGAAAATATATTCTATATTATATGAAGTAGAACAACCAGTAAGAGGACGAATAGAATCGGGGTTTTGCCAACACCTTGGGACAAAACTGCTTCCTGATTCAATACGATTTGAATCATTTATCTGAGTGATTCAGGAACCATTAGGCTCTAATGGAAATGTGAGGTCTAATAAAAACCCCTATATTAAAGCCCTTATTTTGTTTTGGTTACCTCATTTTTGGGAAAAAAACAAACAAAAAAACACAGTGAGTGAGGTCAGACAAAATTAATGTTTAACTCATCAAAGTTTATCAACAAGGAGGTGCTGGAAAAAAAAAATTGCTTCATGATAGTAAAACAGAAATAAGCACCAGCCATGTGTCCCTTCAAAGCATGTATGACCGAGCTACTTATATAGCCTTCTCACATGTCAGCTCAGGAGTTTTTTTTTATTTTAAGTTTACTGAGAGATATATCATACCCAATTCATTTTTATTTCAAATGCTATTTTCTTCTATATCATCTTTTGATATAAGTTCTGGGGTTCTTCTTATATACATTTCAGGCCTGTGAAGTAGGTTTTGTACTGAAAAGTCACAGTACCTACTACAAAACCACAGTGTTATGGAGTTGTTTACCAGACTGACTATACCATCCAAGGGGCTTCTTCAGTTCTAACTGGGAAATTCTCGTACCAGTTTAGTTACCTTTGATGTAACTGCTTCCCAAAAATGATTTTTTTTCCTTAATAGTTATAATTTGTAATTTACTTTATTTTTAAAGTTTTAATGTGACTCATTAAAAAAATCCAAAAATTATATCCAAACTATTTAACTAAGTAACACTAAGTCATTCGGATACTTAGTCACTAGTTCTAAAATACTACTTTGCCTGATTAACCATCCAATAAAAGCCCATCCATCATCCATCCATTTTCATCCGCTTATCCGCAGCAGTCGCCACCCAAATCACATTGCACCGTACCAACCCCCCCAAACCTTCTTGCGGGTGGTGAGTCCACTGGAAGGTACCAACCGCCCTAACCGGGATTCGAACTTGCCCAGGAGGTGAACCCTGGGGTTCCACACCAATGACAGAGACATTGCCTCTGGGCCAAAGCGCCACCCAATAAAAGCCAAATAATAATAATAATAATAATAATAATAATAATAATAATAATAATAATAATAATAATAATAATAATAATAATAATAATAATAATAATAATAATAATAATAATAATAATAATAATAATAATAATAATAATAATAATAATAATAATAATAATAATAATAATAATAATAATAATAATAATAATAATAATAATAATAATAATAATAATAATAATAATAATAATAATAATAATAATAATAATAATAATAATACTTCCTACCCTTACCTCCACTTCCTGTACTAGAGGATTGTGGGATTGCAATGGCTGCCATCTTGCCTCCTGTAAACACAACGGAAGCACGTCTAGTATACGAAAGCAGCATTGTAAATGTTTCGTAAGCTCGGTCATTGTTGCAGTATTTTCCGAACGCACACTACATAAAACGACATCAGATGTTTAGCCTATTTAAAGTTTTTATCAAAATATTAGGTCCAAATTCAGCAGACTTTGATTTTCCGCTAACGGAAACTTGGTCAGCGCTAGGAGCTAGGTCTTAGGTACGTATCAGTTTCATTGTCTTTTATATAGACAAATCATTTGAATTGGTGATTATTTGTGTTGGTAACTCGTAACTTCTCACACCCTTACTACTATAAAAACAAATACGAAGCCTTGGTGTCTTAGTTAAGACACCAAGGCTTCGTTGAGCTACACCTCATCGTACACGTCTAGTGTAGGAGATAACTCAGAAAAGTCAAGCTCACGCTATTAATCGTGTTTCCATCAGGAGGTTTACACTGTAACGTTCTGCTAAATTAAACAATAAAGCTACAATAGCCTCAATGGCCAAAAATAACCCCTAAACCTTTCAATCCACATTACCAACTTGCGGTGTGTTGTGCTAAACAGTTGTGTGGTGTTTTTTCTACCGTAAACCGGTAGTTTTGTTCATGGTTAGATTATTCCGTGTACTAGCGTCTTAGTCCAGTCTTGTTTAAAAAAATAATTAGATTAAAATGTCTGAGAAGTAACAACTATTTATACAGGATTACCCTGAGATATTTTGACCTGTTTTACGTGTCATTATTTCCACACAGATAATGGACGATGATTTCTCAATGCACAGGCTGGAAGGGAATGATCCTTCAGCTCAGGTTGGTGGACTTATTGTTAAAAAGAAGAGTGCTGCAGGAGAGGCCCATGTGTTCCGGGCTCCTACCCCCAGAACATCTCTGCTTGGACTGGATTTGCTAGCAGCTCAGAAGAGAAAGGAACGTGAGAGCAGTGTCCAAGCAGATGGTGACAGAAATAGGAAGAAGTCAAAGGTTTCCTCCTACAAAGACTGGGAGGAAGGTAAAAGTGACTCTGGGTCTGATGAAGAAGATGATGACAAGAATGAAACGAAGAAGGAAAGGTAAGTCAGTGCAATGGAATATTTCTTAGAATATGCTTTTTTTAAACACCTATGCAATTAGCCATACAGTCTAAAGAGGGCACATGTGCATTGAGCTAAATGTTATATTTAATGTAATTTTTTGCAGCCTTGGCAGCTTCATACATGTCTTATTGCAGCAAGTAACACTTAAGAGTATACTTTGTTTTTCCATTACAAAAAGTAAAATAATTTGGATAAAGTTGAGCTTTATAGGTTTTTATTTGCATCTTTTTTACATTCTTAGTTGAATTAGAAACTTTTATGCAATGCAAATGTTATATGACTATCTTGGTTTTTTTTTAGCAGCAGAAAGTATCGTGTGACTGGCTCTGAGACGCCATCAAACCCTGGAGGGGTCAGCGAAGAGTTTAGACGCAAAAACCAGCAAAGAGAAAAGGACAGGCGCGATCATGGAGTCTATGCGTCTTCCAAAGAGGACAGAAACAGGGAAAAAGACCGAGAAAGAAGCAAAGATAAGGGCAGAGACCGAAGGAGTGAAAAAGGTAAATAGTAAAATGACAGATCATGTTGTACACAATAACCTTTTTATGTAGCACTTAAATAACTTAAACCATAAATATGAAACTAAGGTCTTTCAATCCCTTAAGATGTTCTCCGATAAACCTAATACAACTTTAATACTGTAATACTTAATGGAGTATGCCCTTTTGATTTCTATAATCCTAAATGATTGTTAAGAGGATATCTTTCCATTGTCTTTGTCAGATGAGCATGAAAATAGCTACAGTCGAGGAAGCAGCAGTAGTCGCTCAGATCGTGGGGAACGAAGTGAAAGGAGTGAGCGTTCTCAGAGAGAAGGGTCATCTGAAAGACTCAGCAGGGGTAATAGAAGAGATGAACCTCTGACACCACAACATCGCCCAAAAGGTAGCTAATAAGTGATCCTTTAATTATTTGTCTGAAATGTTTTGTTAACCTTAAAACAAAACATAGTTGTATATATCAATTTATTGATTGAGCTGCATTATTTTTTAAACAGATGGTTCCACACCTTCGCGCTCAAACTGGGATGAAGACGACAGTGGTTATGCAAGTACAAGACATTCTCAGTGGGAATCTCCGTCTCCATCTCCGTCTGTCAGAGATTCAGATCGCTCAGATCGAAGTCATCGTTCTGGCAGAGAAAGTGAGAGAAGGGAAAGGTAATAATATGGTCGATCTCTTTACTTCCTACTACTGTTTTTTTTTTTACATCGTTTTTAGACAAATACATAACACACAGAACATACATGGCAGCAGTGGTGGTTGGTATGAGCAAGCTGCATATATCCATGAACAGTATAGGGATCACATGTGAATCAGCGAGCAGCTATGGCAGAGGAAAAGGAATAGTACCCCAAAAGCAGTATTAGTCAGGTTGCGGAAGAGTAGAAAGGACGCCATTTAACACTAGAGTGTCCCCTATGGATTGAGTCTCTAATATCATCTGGAAAGCGGTCCAGAAAAGGTCCCCACAGCTTCTTAAAATGCCTCTCATTCCTCTTTAAAACTAACCTCTGGTGCTCCATTGGTAGAACTTTGAATATTTCTCCATACCACTGGGTAACAGTTGGAGGTCTGAGTTTGAGCCACTGAAAAAGAATACATCTCCTGGCTAACCAAAGAAGCTTATATAGGAGTTTTTGCTGTAATTTTGATAGCGGCAGTGCATGTAAGAGCCGACTTCCTGCTTGCATTTAGCACATGGGGGGGATATCTCAGAATAGAAAGTGTTCATAGATTGGGGTTTGCGTTGTAGTCTATTAAGAATCCTATATTGAGACTCCATCAACTTTTTACACAAGAAGGTTTTGCTTATTAATTCCACAGCTCAGAACCACGCCTCCTCCCTATACTCAGTTGCCATATCTTTGTTCCATACACTTAATTTTGTCAATATTATATGGAATGAGGGATTGTAATTTTTTGTAGAAATAGGAAATTATTTTCCTGTTTTAAAAACTGTATACCACTGTAATAAAAAGAGTCAGTATCTGAGACTACTGTCTGGGCTTCCGGAGAAGCTCAACTTAATATGTAATGTCTGACCTGAAGATAGCCAAATATTACTGTTTTTTAAAGCAAATATTTTATTGATCATCATCTTAAGCTTTTTAGAATCATTTTATTTAATTGATTTTAAGAAAAAATGTTTTTCACCATGACATAAGAATTTTCTGCTCTGTTCTCAGGTCAGGCAAAGGACGTTACGCTGATGATACTCCTTTGCCAACACCCTCTTATAAGTACAATGAATGGGCCAATGACAGAAAGCATCTGGGTTCTACACCTCGGTTATCACAAGGAAAAGGTACAATTTTAAAAATGAATGGCAACACTAACAGTAAGTTTGAATACCCTGTGTCTGCTCACAGTTTTAATCTGCTGTTTTTTAGGAAGGAAGGATGGTGAAGGAGGAATTATGTTTGATGATGAGAATGAGAAGGAACGGTGGGAAGAAGACCAGAAGGTCATTGTTAACAGTGACTTGTTTTGACTCAATTAAACTTTTGATCTTTTTAATACAATAGATTTTGACAACTCGGTGTTGGGACTTTTTCTTTTCAGCAAGCAGACAGAGATTGGTACATGATGGATGAAGGCTATGACGAGTTTCATAACCCTTTCACATCCACATCTGATGACTATGTGAAGAAAAGAGAACAGATCCTTCAGAAGCAGACTCAGAAAAGAATATCAGCCCAGAAAAGACAGATCAATGAGGTAGGACCAGTGATTTATTTATTCATTTATTTCAACTTCAGCTTCAACCTCACAACACAGTGTGTTTATTCATGTGTGATCGACATTTAAGCAGCTTTGTTTGTAAATTTGCATTTCCTGTCCAGGATAATGAGCGATGGGAGACCAACCGTATGCTGACCAGTGGTGTGGTGCAGAGGCTGGAGGTAGATGAAGACTTCGAGGAGGACAATGCTGCTAAAGTTCACCTGCTGGTTCACAATCTAGTCCCTCCTTTCCTAGATGGAAGAATTGTTTTCACTAAACAGGTGATCAAAAATATATTTTTTTTGCAGATTTGATTCAGTCAGGGATGCACTTCAGTTTAATTTACTTATATTTTTCCCTAAACCTTGTTTTTGAAGTTTATTTATGTGTTTGTGTTTTCAAACTGCAGCCAGAGCCTATTGTTCCTGTGAAAGATCCCACATCTGACATGGCCATCATCTCTCGAAAAGGCAGCCAGCTAGTCCGTAAACACCGTGAGCAGAAAGAGCGCAAGAAGGTTGGCTGGATTTATTTTTGATAAAATCTTACATCCTGCTGCTAGGTCACTGCTGTTTATCAAAAATCAGTATGTAAGAGTACTGGGTGATATTACTAGTGAGCCTGTACAATTTTCCAAATTGATAGTGATAATACTTAGTTACCGGTACATTGTCCTTGCAAATGTATAATCTTTATTTTATAGTGACCATAAACTGTTAAAGATCTAAAATTCTTTTCTTTTTAAAATTGTTCCACTTTAATGTTTTTATGTGTTTTACTTCATTTTGTTTTTAGGCTCAGCACAAACACTGGGAGTTAGCAGGCACCAAGTTAGGAGATATCATGGGAATCAAGAAAACTGAGGAAGATGACTCTGGAAGTAAAGTAGGCGAGGATGGCAAAGTCGACTACAGGTGACACTAATCACATTTTACATTTACTTCTTGATACCCTGTAGGTGTAATATATACAGTTACCCAGTCAGCACTGTGTCTGGCCAATAATGAGTTATGTTAATGTTTCTTAATTTCCTATAGGGCGGAACAGAAATTTGCTGACCACATGAAGGAGAAATCAGAGGCGAGCAGTGAGTTTGCAAAGAAGAAGAGTATTTTAGAGCAGAGACAGTATCTTCCTATCTTTGCTGTCAGGCAGCAGCTTCTGAACATCATAAGGTATTGATAACCAGACAAAGTTTGCATTAAAACTCAAAAAGACATTCAGCATTCATTTATGTATGAATCAATTTCTGACTTCAGTTCTCTGCGTGTTTAATATGTAGGGACAACAGTATAGTGATCGTCGTTGGGGAGACAGGCAGTGGAAAGACCACCCAGCTTACCCAGTACTTGCACGAGGATGGGTACACCAAGTACGGTATGGTGGGCTGTACTCAGCCTCGCAGAGTGGCAGCCATGAGTGTGGCCAAGAGAGTCAGTGAAGAAATAGGCTCCAACCTCGGAGAGCAGGTGAGGCAGCTTGTTAAAGCTTAAGTAAACATACCACTTCATCAACTGCTTTTTCATCTATTTTAGACTTTCCACATTTAACCTTCCTGACATTTTGATTGAAGGTATTAAGTCTATAAAAGTGTCTTCTAGATTGTCAGAAATGATGCTGGCCTCTGAACATGATTAGAAATTACCACAGTTTTCTTATGTCTTATATTTATGTATTTTTAAAAGCAAATTGAATAGTCTTTTAGCAGGTTTTTGGTAGTTTCATATTTTATAATCTGTCTAATACTACCATCTAGTGGTAATATTTGAATTTTCAGCTGACCCTAGGATTTACATCTATGCCTAAAATGAGAAGGAAATAAGATAAGATACAAACTTATTCTGTTTGTAAAGTATTTTTTCAGTGTTGTACTTAACCTAATTTTGAGTGAAAAAAAATTACAATATATTTAATTCTCTCTAATGCCTTCAGGTGGGTTACGCTATTCGCTTTGAGGACTGTACATCTGAGGAAACGCTCATAAAGTACATGACAGATGGTATCCTGCTCAGGGAGTCACTGAGGGAGTCTGACCTTGACCACTACAGTGCTATTATCATGGACGAGGCTCATGAACGGTCACTGAATACTGACGTACTGTTTGGTTTGCTGCGTGAGGTCAGTACAGACCTAAGTCAATACCTGTTAATCATTGAACTCGGTATGGTATACTTAACTCTGCCAAATTATTATTGTTTCCTTTTAGGTTGTATCTCGACGCACTGATTTGAAACTCATTGTTACATCTGCTACTATGGACTCGGACAAGTTTGCATCATTTTTTGGAAATGTTCCTATATTTCACATTCCTGGAAGAACCTTTCCTGTTGACATCTTGTTCAGCAAGGTATGTTTGTAATCTGTAACTCTTAATTGTCCTTATAGGCGACTGGTACGAATGAGGGTTGACCTAATATTGATGTCTTGTGCCGTTTAGACACCTCAGGAGGACTATGTGGAAGCAGCAGTGAAGCAGTCCCTGCAGATCCATCTTAGTGGCTTAATGGGAGACATCCTCATCTTCATGCCTGGACAGGAGGACATTGAGGTGATGATAATGATTTTTTAAAAATGTTTACTCTGTGTCATCTTGTACAAAAACAAAGATAGATCTAAAAGAAAAGCTGCTACAAAATAAAGGGAGACTTTGGCTTCTATTTATCAACTTACCTAACTAAGCAATCACATTTTGTCACGAAGACATCAATTAATTCTAATTTTTTAAATCATTGTCTGCCGTCATTTAACACAAGATATAAATGTGCCATTTTCACTGCAGGTGACCTCAGATCAGATTGTGGAGAGACTGGGAGACTTAGAGAATGCTCCAGCTCTTGCTGTGCTTCCCATTTACTCTCAGCTGCCATCTGACCTCCAAGCCAAGATCTTCCAGAAGGTTTTCTGTCTTACTCAACCTCACCTACTGTTAATAATGTTTTTGTACTTGCCTAATTTCACACTCATCTCACCTCCTGCTGATTGTCTTTATTTAATTTTGTACCAGGCTCCAGATGGTGTGAGGAAGTGCATTGTTGCCACAAATATTGCTGAGACCTCGCTCACTGTGGATGGTATTATGTTTGTTGTGGATGCAGGATACTGCAAGCTGAAGGTATGCTTCAGGCTCAGGCACATATATTGGTTTTATGTGGGACTGATAATTATAAACTCTTCATACCACATCTGAAAGACGTTTTATTGTTATTTAGCTCATGTGTACATCTAAGTTGTACAGAGGAAAAATGGTTTTGTCTTGCTTTGATGATAAGAGTTAATCACACCTTCTGTTTGTGATTTATGACAAATTCAGCTCTATCTAACCAAAGAAAAATAAAGTTTAAATTAAAAATTAGTTTTTTAAATCCAAATCTAATTAATTTTTTTAACTAATTGAAAACAAATTAAATTATCTAATAAATGTAGATAATATAAAATATTTTATTCCTAATGACAGGTTTTCAATCCTCGTATTGGAATGGACGCACTGCAGGTTTATCCTATCAGCCAGGCTAATGCCAACCAGCGATCAGGCAGAGCGGGTCGTACAGGTCCAGGACAGTGTTACAGGTAAGAGTCGTTTCCTTTATACATTACTTTGGAAAAAAGCAGCATGCTGATAAATGTAAATGTTTTTTGGTCGTGAAACCCACTTGTCCAAATTTTATAAATCTGATTATTTTATTTTATAACTATTTGATGTTATGTGTGTTGTCTGTAGTGTGCGCTTGTTGTCACTGTGATGTTTTGTGCTGAAGCTTTCTTGGCCAGGTCTCTCTTACAAAAGGATTTATATCATAACGAGACTAAACCTGGTTATTTAAAGGAATATTAACAACAACAATAAAAAACATTTATTGTAATACCAATATGATAACAACCTATTTTATATATGTCTGTTACATTAGGTGTAATTTTGTCTACATACAAAGAAATTACACTAATATAAACAGATTTTTATTGTGAAAATATATGGTTTTTAATACAAAGATATTTTGTTTTTTTTAACCATTGATTTTCTCTGTCCAGGCTGTATACACAGAGTGCTTATAAGAATGAAATGCTGACCACCACCATACCTGAGATTCAGAGGACAAACCTGGCGAATGTAGTTCTGCTGTTGAAATCTCTGGGCGTTCAGGATCTGCTTCTTTTTCACTTCATGGATCCACCACCTGAGGACAACATGCTCAACTCCATGTACCAGCTGTGGATTTTGGGGGCCCTGGATAACACTGGTGAGTGGTGAACAGGAATTCTGCTCTATATTTTAGCTGTTATTCAACCCTGACTGATGCAGTAAGAAGCTCCTGATTTGTTTTTAAATTATACTAAAAGGTAAATGTTAAAATAAATAAATAAATGAAATCCTAATATCCATGTAGAGATTGATGATCAGACAGTTAAATCTTTGGCTAAATAAAATCATAAATAGTCTAAAGCAGTGTTGACACAGTCATCAGGTTTATGTGTAAACTCTCTCACATTTAAGAGAGGGTACGTTCAAATGCCATATAATTCTTATCTTATTGTTATTATTATTTTATTATCTTGCTTTTTAATTTTATCTTTTTGCATTTCATTTTAAACATTTTTGTTTTTCTACTCAAAGATGTCACAAAATGTACACAATCTGTTTGAAAAAACAAAACAAAATGCCAACACTTGATGATCACAACTAGTTTTTATTGTTTTGCTTTTTTATAAAAACATTTTATCTAGGGAAGCAATGAATATTTAGCCACTGAAAATGTTTGGCTGAAAATGGCCCAAAAGTGCATTTTCGGCCAAAAGATCACCAAAACAAAACAATCGAAACAGGAAGTTATGATGACGTAAGCAAAAACCTGCGGCGAGCGTGGCCCTCGTTGTGCAAAAGCTAGTCTTTGCTGCATACAGCACAGACCAGGAGCTCCCCGTGACATTCAGTTCACACTAGTGGGTCTTAATAGAGAACATTCTTTCTCTTCTTGGCCCATTTGAGCAGCTAACTAAAGAGATCAGCTTCTCTGATGCATTTGTAGCAGATGTTATTCCTTTAATCGCAGCACTAGAGGGTCTTCTAAGCAAAGAGGTTGAGACAATGAAAAGTACATCATAGAGTCTGTCAGGACATTTTTCACTGAGATCTATTTTGGCCAAGAATTTTAATTTCGGTGCATTACTAATTTTTTCCAAGCAACTGTTACTTGGGTTGGAAGGACGCATAACACAGCAAGAAGCACAACTTGCAACTTGTACTACAGTAAAGTACCATTGTCGACTAATCAACAGGCCTTTGAGAAAATACTTGAATTAGATGCTGCGTTCACCTTTCAGTAGTCTGAGCTGCTGCAGCTAGGTACAGAAGTTGGCCTGAAGGAAGTAGTTTTCAGGTTTAGCCAGTGGAGTAATTGCTCTGTAACTGATCCCACCTTTGATTTGACTACTCTGGTCTCATTTCGGTTTCATCCTCAGTCAGATTCCACAGGATTTAGGGATTTGAGGATAAGAGGGGACTTCTGATGATTCCCTGTATGCTGTGTTAACAGAAGATTATCTCTGATTACGGCTCACCTGCCCAAACTGACTCCTTTAGTGGCGCTGCTCCTCCTCTGTGTAAGCTTCTTAGGCTCATGTCATCTAATCATTGAAATCAGCACTGGGAAGAGTTGAAGCTGGTTCTGTCCCCCTACTCTACATGTGTCCTCAACTGTCAGCAGTTTATCCTCTTCTCTTACTAATAGACATTGCTTTATACATTTTCCCATGATTCCTTGCAAGGACTGACTTTATAATTCTGGTTTCCTTTTGGTTTTCCAGGGGCTTTGACACCAACAGGGCGTCTGATGGTGGAGTTTCCTCTTGACCCCGCCCTTTCCAAGATGCTGATCGTGTCGTGTGACATGGGCTGCAGTGCTGATATCCTCATCATTGTTTCCATGTTGTCTGTGCCTGCAATCTTCTACAGACCTAAGGTACCTTATATGTCACACAAGACTTCATGACTAAAAAAAGACAGGTTGAGTCAATAAACACTAAAAAAACATTTAACCTGAAAAAAATGAGAGATTGGTCAATGTTTATACTAAATTTAAATGAAAAATTACATGTAAAGCAGGATAAAAGTCATACAGTGAGCCAGCATTTTGGCAGAGGCGAGAAGAAAATACTAGAATACAGTGGTCCCTCGTTTATCGCGGTAGATAGGTTCCAAGGCCTGCCACGAGAACTGAATTTCCACGAAATGATGATGAGGAAGGTGATGATGACTTTTACTGCACAGCCGATGATTGATTTTACGTCTCTTTAGAGGGTGGTGCCATTCCTTGGGGCACTTCTTCTACGGTTTCCGAAGGTGTATTTGTAGTAGTAGCAGGAACTGGCTCTTTTTTGCGAGCCTGCCCAACACTATGATCGACAGTTGCTTCCGCTGCTTCTTTTTCCAGTCGAAGAGTAGCTTGTATGCAGTCATGATGTCGTCGATTTTGTTGCAAAATTGGACCGACGACATATCGTCGTCCCATTCTTGTGACATCTCTTGCAGATCCAAATCTGGGATACAGTATATTTTATATATACAGTTTCAAAAACCTGCGAAGTCATGACTACTGTACTAGAAAATAGGAGAAAATACATCCATCACAATACTCTTGTCCATGAACTTACATCACAAATCCTTTTACCATTTGTATGGCATTTCTATTAGTAACTAATAGTCACTAAACCACAGTTACATACATTGTTTTAACCTTTTCTGTGTACCTGTGTCCCCCATGGCCTAACAGGGTCGTGAAGAAGAGAGTGACCAGGTGAGGGAGAAGTTTTCAGTCCCAGAGAGTGACCACCTCACCTACCTCAACGTCTACATGCAGTGGAAGAACAACAATTACTCAAGCATTTGGTGCAATGAGCACTTCATTCACACCAAAGCTATGCGAAAGGTCAGGGCCTTTAAAACCATGCATTACATTTTCACCTTTAAATGCAAACCAAGTAAATTTGTTTTACAAAGGATAAAGAAACTGTTTCTTGTAGCAACTGAACAAGTTAATTTTTTTGTTACTGTTGTCTTTAACACACTCTAAGAAGTTTCAAGACAGCCAAAGAATAAAATAATAAAAGTCATTTATGTAACATCCTTGTTATTAGCAGTTTAAGTGTTAACATGTTGTGGTGGTAGGGTACAGTGTTACCGTCTTTGCAGGCAAGGATTAATAAATGACAACAAAATATATTTGTACCTGACCTCTTTATGTTATTTAAGCTTGTGCTATTAATTAGTGAGAAAATACATTATTTTTCTAATGCTACTATAACTTAGTCATTTGGTGTAACCAAATCACTGCTGTTCGAATTCTGTTGTACTTGCGATCTCTGGCCTCCGTAATTTTTTTTCCTTTTTTCACATCTGACTTTGACTGTTCTCTTGCTGTCAGGTACGTGAAGTGCGCTCCCAGTTAAAAGACATCATGGTGCAGCAGAGGATGAACCTGGCGTCTTGTGGTTCAGACTGGGACATCATCAGAAAGTGCATATGTGCAGCATACTTTCATCAAGCCGCCAAGCTCAAGGTAATTTCTCTTTCTCAGGTTTAGCTATTGTGTCAGATTGATATCTGTGTAAAGAATTCCCCTGCTTTTTTAGACAATTTGCTGGTTTGACATTAAGCTCAGACGACTTGATTTATCCGGGCTAATTACACTATAAATGTGTATTGTTTTGCTAATCACAACTTCCAAGTTGGATATTTATTAAATTTCTACATGTGATTTCTGCCAGGGTATCGGTGAATATGTGAACGTGAGGACAGGCATGCCGTGTCACCTCCACCCCACCAGCTCACTGTTTGGTATGGGCTACACACCCGACTACATCATCTACCACGAGCTGGTCATGACCACCAAGGTACCTGTGTACTACAGCACTTCATCTGCATTAAAGAAAGGTTTGGATACTATTTGTTGTTGATTGTCAACATCTGCTTTGTGTTGTAGGAGTACATGCAGTGTGTGACTGCAGTAGATGGAGAGTGGCTGGCAGAACTGGGACCCATGTTTTATAGCATCAAACATGCAGGAAGAAGTAGACAGGTAAGAGAACACTGAGAATATACTGTAACATAAATATAAACTGTTCATTAATTAATCTTTAAGAGTAGGTAAGTCACCTGAGTGAATACACTTAGAGATGTGATTTAGAAACATATAGCTTTACAAACAAAACAGAATTTCTTACTCGTTTCATACAAGAGTCTTTCAACTACCAGTTGTTTGTGGTACTTTGTTACAATAGTTTAATCAGAGGTGTCCACACTTTTTTTGGCTTGAGAGCTACTATTCAAATGACCAGGCTTAAGTCATCTACCTACTGTAAAAACATTAAATATATATTCACTCATATATACTGAACATACTTTATATATAAATCACAGAGGTGTGGACTCGAGCCACATGACTTCGACTCAAGTCAAATTTGATGACATGGTTCTGGACGTGACAATGAGTTGCTACTTTCCTGTTGCTGTATAGACACTTGAAATGAAAGAATGAATGAATGCCACATTTTGTGTCCGCATCCCAACCACCCAGGATGCCACAGTTTATTATTACATTACATTTAGCAGACACTTTTATACTAAGCGACTTAAAAGTTTATCTACATATAAAGACACAAGCTTAAAAAAATGTATAATATATTAAAAATAGTTGTGCTGTTTTAGCTTGTCAGACAAACTTTTCACACAGGAAAACAAAGTTATACTGAGCGTTGTTCTCACTCTCCAGCAAGTTGAAGCGGTTATAGTCATCATGGTAACGGGGTCCATAACTGAGATAACTGGGGGATGCGGCCACAAGTCTGTTGCCATCGAGGCAGTACAGTGCTTGGAGACTATATGATTATCATAATGCAGTTCTCAATTTTATCCCATCATGCCCTCCTAGGGGACAGAAATATTTTCAGGCCCCCATCTTAATTGAAATACCATTTAGAACCGGATTATGTATGAATATTTTTTTATCTGTACAAACCACTGTATGAGTTGCTGCCACCTAGTGACTGGAGGCTTGTTTATTGTTCAAGCCTTACAGCAGCGGCCCACTTCTGTCCAACCTACCATATTCCATTGGAAGCCTCTCACTTATGACTCTTGTCTCTATGTGTCCACAAAGGACACCTTGTTACCGTGCAGAAAATACAAAGAAATCATACAACACATTTTTACTTGGCAACATTTTATCTGACTGCATTTTAGAAGGCGTCCCAACTTTAGCCAGTCATTCAGACCAGTGAAACGAGGTTTGTGGTTCTTGGATGGCAATGAAAAAAAACATCTAGTTTTTTTTACCACTCCCTCTCCTTTGAGGGAAGTGTTTCAGTGTCAGTATGTGCTCATCTGCTATCTGTCTTCTAGGAGAATCGGCGGCGCGCCAAAGAGGAGCTCACCAACATGGAGGAGGAAATGGCTATGGCTCAGGAGCAGCTGAAATCACGTCGGGAGGAGCAGGACAGGAAGAGCAATGTTGGCAGCGTAAGGTGAGTTCGGTGACCATTCCTCTTCCAACCCTGACCTTGTCTGACTTAATCTCCCATGGTCTTCATTTTCCATACGTTGTGAGGGTAGAAATGTTAAATTTATCCAGCTCACTGCTGATCCATACCTTCTCCTCTCACCCCTCCTCTATTTCCACAGTTTTTTCTTCACCTACTCTCTCCCTCTTTGTGATGAGCTTTTCTCACCTCTGGTCCCTCCAGACGAGACAAAAAGAAATAATATTGACTCCTGGCTGACCCCCATTACTGCAGCAATTTAAATTGTGCCAGAGCAGAGCGTAGAAAGGAGGGGCAAGTTAATTTTCAAATTAGACCAAAAAAATTAATTTCACACCCAGCACCATCTTCACATGGAGTAATGATGTTGTAAAGACCCATTTCTAAAAGAACTTTTGTAGTTAATTAATCAGCAGGTTTATTGGTCCTGAATTTGTCTGACGGTGTCTGGGAAAGATCTGTTGAAAATAATAGTATTACCCCAGTGTGATTATGATTTGGGATTCAGGCGGAGGAAGTGGAATGTGTGATAATGAACGCTGAAGACTCTCCTGGGCACTGAGCTTTCTTTGTCCTGTGGTTCACCTCACAGGCATAACACTCTACAAGTTAGGTTTGAAATATTTTCTTGGCGACGCCTTCATGTGCCACCTGCTTATCGCCTGCTTCTGTGCCCAGCAGCTCAGATCAGTAGTGTGAATTAGTAAATGGTTCACACAGTCTGTTTGTATAAATGTTAAAAAAAAAAGTTAAATCAGTTGTTACTTTCACATTTTCTGGCTGTATGATGTGCAAACCAGACATAATTTCAGTAGATTTACTGTGAGCTTCAGTAAAGGGTTTTAATATTTATCATCTAGGGACATTGTATAGAACAGTAATATTTAATGTAGTAACATTCTTAAAGGTACAATGTGTAGCACCTCCTAGTAGTTAAGTTATACCACAACATATTGGCATTGTGTTTCCATACAATAAAGTAAACCAGCATGGTGTGGATACGTTTCATCTATTTTGACTGCTGGCTTTACATGCATATTGAGTTAAAACTATTCCTTTACCCCAGGGATGTCAAACTCAAATTCACAGTGGGCTGAAGTCTGGGACCAAACTTTTATTGAAAATTTATTGAAAAATTGACAGTAAATTCTCATGTTTTCCCATCTCTCCAGATCTGTAGTGTAGAATTTTTTTAACTTTAGTTTTGCGTAAACATTGAATCTGGAACAACAAGGTTAATATTATAAACACATGAAAAATTAAATTTGAAATAAAACACACATCAGTGGTATTTGTTTCTATGCATTTCCAGTTCCTTTTTAATGTAAATCTTTTTTTACAGACCAACAACAAAAAAACAAATGTATGTGCTATAAAATAACGCATACACCGGATTTACTACAAATCCTGCCAGTACATAGGAGCTGTATACTGGTGGGCCAACTCTAGTACACATTTGATATGATCTCACAGGCCAAATATATTTACACTGCGGGACAGATTTGACCCCTGGGCCTGAGTTTGTGTATGTGTGTTCTACACAGTTTGAAGATATAGTTGAAGTAGTATAGTATAATTTAGAGATGATATATTTTAAAAATGTTTGTGGGTTTAGAAGATGAATTGAACCTACTGATATTCCTACAAAATAATTTAGTTTAGTTTTTTCTTATTCAAATTCCTGCAGTAATTAGTGTAAAACCTTCCCAAAAACTATTAATGTTTTTAATCAAGTTGTATGATTATCTTTTATAAACCAATAAAAGACTGTGTACAAAGGGATGTTAAGAGTGACAGAAAGAGGTTATGGCCTCATGGCAGTAATTGCTGCACGTGCGTGTGTTTCACTGTGTGTTTGTGTGAAGAAGATGGGGTTTGGGGAACTGTGGGCATTGCGAGTGCGTCACCCAGCTGTAATTAAAGATGATAGATTGTACTGTCAGCAGCGTCAGGCTCTACCGCCCAACCCTTAACAAAGAAACCGTTCTGTCTTTTCAATCTTCTCCAGCTCCACTACCTTCATCTTCTAATTCATCTGCCCCTCATCCCATTCCTGTCTTACATGAGAATTTTAAATTCCTAAATATTTTTATTGTTCTCACACAGGGCAGTGAAGATCTGCACACCAGGAAGAAGAGAAGAAGCCCCAATGACACCCAGACGGACCCCTGCACGCTTCGGATTATAAAACAACAACTCTCTTCAACATCAAGCCCTGAATAACTGTCATCATCAAGAGTCGGACCACAGCAAAGTTAGTAAAACAGAATTTTCACCAACCAACCACTCACCCTTGCTGCAGAGCGACCACAGACAACTGCAGTACCTGTACTGAGCACTAGAGTGAGAACTTGTATAAGGCACCAGACTCAAGATTGAGCCTGGATTGAGTAGAGTGTGCAGCCATGCTCCTCCTTTAAATTAATTGTACATACAAGAAAGAACAAATACATTTCTGTATTGTTTCTTTTTCATAAACAGCATGTACATGTGATCAATACTGGCACAAAATGTTAAATAGGAATCGCTACTGTTATTTTAGCAAAAATACACCTATTCATTTTACATATAATCTTACAGCCCTGTCTATCAAGAAATTAAAGGTATAAACATGATTTTGTTTTTACACGTTTGTACATAAATATTCACAAACAACAGTCATGCACATGTTTTTTTTCTCGTAATATCTTTATGTTAACTATGTGATAAAACACTTGTTAGTGTGACCACATGAACCTGACAACCATGTAAATGACAAAATTAAATATTTGTCGTCAACCAATGAGAACATGATGCTAGTCTGTCAATAGAGTGAAGTTTGGATAGTGGCCATTGGCAACCTTCAACATACAGTAACAACTAGTAATGTTTAGTCTTTTTTTTACTATGTTTTGTATGAGAGCTTAAGTGAAAACTATTTTTGATCAGTTGTAGTCAAAAAAATTATCATTTTAGAAATAAAATCTAATTTATTCATGTGAAATAAAAACATATTTTCAAAGTGAAATTGTTGTGTACTGTTGCACATTTATTTCATTTTCTTGTAATCGTGCAATCCACCTAAATAAGCAAATAGAAAATGCAACTACAATGCACGTTTTGCGACGATCTAAATAACCCAAAGTGCAATAGTTGTCAAAGTTTCCACTGTAACAATTGGAAACGTAATGTAGCAAACGGCAGAAATACAAACCTCTACCAGACCACAGCGTTTCCCAGCATCAACACACTGCCAACTGTTCAAAAATAGTTTTTGATTTTCTTTCAAATTGATGTATTTCATTCGTATCATTATCTGGATCTCAAAGTTATTTTTATAGCCCTTAACCAGCCATAACTTCTGGTATAATTTCTGTTTTGTCTCTACAATAAATTGCTCTCAGCTCATGATGTAGTACTTTTCCAGTTTTCATGACTTCTCAAACTGCTTTACTTTGCACTTTTTGTCTATTCAGGCATTTATACTATGCATCTATCTAGAGTGCTTTTTATTATATCCCCCATATATCATATACCTATACACACACTCTTGGCACACTGACAGGCGGTAGCAATTTGGGGCTGTCAGAAAATGAACCTCTGACCTTCCCGTTTGAAGACAACCTCTTCTACCCACTAAGTCAAATCCAAACGATGCAGTAATTAGTAATTTTATACCCGTGCATGCAGAGGCTGCTGCCCCCAGAATGCACAAAAGGTGAAGTCATATTTGTTATACAAGGTGCCAGTTGTGTAACGTCTATCTAGAAGTTACTGAACTCAAAATCTTCACAGCTGTGAATTCATTCACTCCATTTAAATTGCATCCTTTCTATGATAATAAATTCAAAGGAACACTACCAGAAATTCCCTTACTGTTTGTTAACACAGTGCATGTAGTGCTTGCTCCCTCCACAGCAGGGGTCACTATTATCAAAGTTTGAATGTCACATCCCTTTATTCAAGTGTAAATATAGTTAATCTTTAATTTAAGTTAATTATATCTGTCACAGGAAACAGGCACAAAAGTTATTACTTATAAACTAAACTAAAATTAAAACGTTAAAGGTTTTCTTCAAATATTTGTGTACAAATTGATTTAATTAAAATAGTTTTTGTTAATTTTCTCCCAACAGTGAGCTACATAACGGAAATTCTAGGAAAATTGTTCTCATTATCAGCTTCACAACCGTGACCTCAGCTCAACTAATTAGACTTAGGTAAAAGCTTGTGTCCTCTCTCCTCCATCATTGAGGCTCTCGCATTTACAGATGTTCTACATCTACATGGACCTTGCTGAAGCTTTCAAAGCCATCAGCTGTGAAGATGTTAATGTGCTCCGGATGAATGGTACGGCCTCATGTGGGTGGATCTCAGGTAAGCTAC